GTTTCAGATGTCGGTATACAAATCCACTAGACTGTAGTATTTCACCCAATCAATTAATTCACTGAACGAATAGAAATCGTGACACTTGATTATGGAACTTGCGGGCGGTTGTAGCCACGTCCTCACGACGTAGCCACTCACGTACCAACAACGCAGCTCCAACTCGGAGTTCATTGTCCAATTCTCCCCATGAAGTCCCGTGTCCTGTTCACTGCCGCCCTTGTGGCCAGCGCGTCCGCCCAACAAGACGTGTCCAAGAAATGCGTGGAATCTGTGATGACGGTGTTTGCCTTGGGCGCCCTCATGCCTGAAATGCAAGTGTGCTCCACGGACTCTGGCGTCCCCATTGAACTAACGGCGCCTCCGAAAGACGCGGACATCGCCAAAGTCGTGGCCACCAAGTCCTGCACGGTGTGGTGGGACGGCGTTGTCGTCCAGGTCAAGGCGATTTCGCCTCCCTGTGACTTTCCCGTTGAAGGGGGCAGCGTCGTCAGCACAGCCAAGTTCAACTGGGGCCTCAAGGACATGTACGCATATGCCAAGGCGTCCACTGGTGCAGCTGCCAACGCCACCACGGTCAAACCTGTGGCTACCACGACGGCTAAACCCGTGACCACCGTCGCCTCTAGCGCCGCGGTGGCGGCTGCAAGTGTAGTTGTCGTGACGTTGGCAGCATTGGTCATGTAACCCAGCCGTCAATGATTAACTAACACCTATGGTGTTGTATGCATGGAATTGTTGTCTGGCAATTGCGAGTATAACTTTTGCATTTTATGAAACATGCAATAACCTTAGTTTATGTTTTGGATGTAACCTTACTGATCTCGCACGATTCTTTCTTTTGGCGGTGTCAACATCAGTCCAATGGTACCATTATGATAATGTGTAGTGTATCCAGCATTGAACGACGTCGTAACTTCTTAGTACTACTGTATAATCGTGATCATGAATAGAGTCTATATATCCCCGTGGGGAAGTTGAGCTATTGAGCTATATATAAGGGGTAATTCACAATTGAAACCAAAGAACCCAGGATCGTTGCTTCGTTTGTTGGGTTTTAGCCTGGGTGTACGATGGCATGCAATGTTCCATATTATTACGTTAAAATCGAGGGATATGTATTTTACATGAACATCGTCGCCACAGCCACAGCCGCGACACTCACAGCCACGACGGCCGCGTTGGACGCGACAGTTTTCGCAGGGGGGGCCGTGGTGATGGCAGTGACAGGCTTGGGTGAGACAATCATGTCCGGCTTGACGGTGGTGGTGGCGTTGGTGGTGTTTTTGACGGTTGTGACGGTGCTGACGTTGGCGGTCGTGGCGGGGGGCTTGGCGGTCGTGGTGGTAGGGGGGGGTATGTCAGTCGTCGTGGCATCCTCTTTGACAAACGCGTAAAAATCTCTGAGGCCCCAGTTGAACTTGGCAGTGTTCACGACGCTGCCCCCTTCAACGGGAAAGTCACAGGGAGGCGAAATCGCCTTGACCTTGGACACAACGCCGTCCCACCACACCGTGCACGATTTGGTGGCCACAACTTTGGCCAGGTCCGCATCGGTGGGGATCACGCTCAGGTCAATGGTCACGCCAGAGTCCTTGGCACACACGAGGATGGCAGGATCAACTGTTTCCACTGCTAACACGGTTGTGACAGAGTCCTCACACTTTTGCGACGGGTCGGTGTCTTGTTGTTGGGCGGTGGCGGTGGCTATGATGGCAGCAGTGAACAACGACACAGACTTCATTTTGCGTTGGGTGAATTGGAGAATGGCAATTGCGCTGTAAAGTGTTCCCTTTGGTCGGTATGAGGTTGGTATACAATCCAGACAAAGAACGCCATTGAATGGGACGGCGTATGGTAAGTGCACGACCATATTTCGTAGGTGTATATACTACAAGTAATAGCTCTATTGACTTGGCTTTGTTATGAACACGTTTTTTTCAATGTTCCAGATATTCCAAAAAATATCCGCCAAGAATATCCATTCCCGGAGCTGGATATTTTTGGGGGGATGGGGCAAGGAAGGTGCTTCATAACGTAGATGGCCAGTTTATGGTGCACTTGAAAGAGACTTCGTCGTAGAATGCAGCTTACTCGTCTCCCAGGACCGGGATTTCAATTCTGAAAAGTGCTGCATGAAGCCGAAAGGTTGGGCATTCCTGTGATTATTTAATCGGCTTGAATAGACTTCAGCTTAGCGTTCATTTACTTCGATTCCACTCAAGTCAAGGCAAAATAGGAGGGACGTTTTATGGTGCACGGTTTAAGCTTATAATATGTATGCTGTTTTTGCTTATTTTTTAGTGATTTCATTTTGCTAGTGATTTGATTGGCTACTCCAAAATTCAAGCAATTCCATTGGCCAATTTGAGTGCACCTTAAACTGTCCCGTGCACCATAAACTGGCCATCTACGTTATCCGAAAAATGCAATTATAGAGGGAACGGAATCAAAACATGTTTGGAACTCTGTCTTGACAACATGGAGTCGACAATCTCGGCACCATGTTGGCGTAGGCAGCACTTATTGGCAGGGAGTTGGCGTGGTGTTTGTTCTAATCTACACAGGTTTGCACACAGGTGTAAATTGCAAGCCTTCGAAGACAGGTTGCACGGGCCGAGAGAGTTGCGGGATCAACGCTGGCAACCGATACCGCAACTGTCTCGGCTCGTTCATAACGTACCGATTCGGTGGACAGGCGGCATTCACTGCGAACCGATCTAGGCTTACGCACATATTTGCCCCAGTCTCGTCCGTCATTGACCGAGTATAGCTGTAACGTTATGATTGATTCACCGCTAGAATGGTTGATTCTTTTAGTACCAATGTGCAATGAGTGTAATTCACACACAGTGCACACGTTAATGTATACCAACTACCTATGCAGTGCACGATTCTTCGATATTAGAGAGGTTTTGCAAGTGTCCGTTCGCAGTCGCGTTCCACTTACAGTATCTGCCTGTACCGGAAGTCGACCTGTCAAACCTTATGTAGAACGCGAACGCGTCCTCTTAAACCTGATTGCCATTCCGTGAAAAGTGCAGATCGCATTCCAGTCTGCTTCGTGATAACTGCATATGATTGGCGGTTCTTGGCCAATCAAGAACTGCACGACCCTCCAACCAAACTTGATACGTCAGGTGTTTGAGTGGCGGGTGGTGCAGTTCTTGATTGGCATGGAGACGCCTCAGCGCCGCCGCATCTTCAACGACGAAGAAAATGTCATGCTTCTTCGTCAGGTGAATGTTGACCATTCCAAGCTAAGAAAGGCGAGGTAATGAAGTCATAGGTGTGGAACCGAGTTGGAAATGCCAGCCGGACGAGCAGAATACACATCGCTTCGTCCCGGGAAGCACGGTACAGTAGCGTTGAGTAGTAATCACCACAGCCGGGAGACCAAGTAGGTAGCCTAACTTCTTGATTCCCATAACCAGGGTATCGTAAAAATTATTTTTAGCAATTTTCCGGAGTAAAAACAATTAACTACTGTATGCAGCGCATGGCCAATACAATTATTGTATTGCTTGCTACATTTAACTGTAAATATTCAATTGTCTAATTGTCAATTATTTAAATGAACAATTATATTTATATACAAATGATAAGATAAAATATTGTTGACTCGTTGGCTTAAATAAAATTATTTTGGATCTCGCAGAATTGATTATTGTAATTGTCCAGCGCTTTGCAATAAATTATTTTCTGTATTTAATTGTTATTAACCAGAAAAATCAAGGTGAAATAGGCAATTTTGTCTGGAGCGCATGGTGAACCAAAATTGGAAAATTTTGACCAATCAGATGCCGTGAATTCACGAAAATCGCTGCGTAGATTCTTCACGCCCTGTTGCGATATATTCTACTCCTGTGATGGCGGTTGATGCAAGGAGCATTGAGATAATTGCAGGCTGTGTATGATAGCAAGATCATGTGATGTGGTATTCAGGACTCGGTCAATTCTAACAGGTCTCATTTTACCTCTTGCCTTTTCTGTCAGTGTTATAGCCAATCGTGTGTAAGAAACAAGGTGTGATGGACATTGATTGGATATTAACAAGGAGCAAGTTGGCTGACCTTGCGAATTCCATTAACAAGTCAATTATTTTTTCCCATACCTGCCCATAACGTCGAAGCAAAAGTCTAGCAGTGCGTTCGTAAAACCTTACTGTTAATGCTGTGTCCGACCGTCGGACACAGCATTGAGGTTGTACCGGATGTCTGGGACAACTAGTAGGCGCTCAACGTAGCTTAACACACACAACACGAAGAAACGACGTTTTTTTCACAAAGGGGGCAAGCAAGGACAACTCTCACTGCGTGAACACCACCGCAAAGAGATTTCCCGCCGTGAATGAATATCCGAATAATATTTACTTATACGGATATTTGTGACAGAACGCCAACGCATTGGTCAATATTCCGTTCGAACTGCCTCTGACACAAAAAGCATGGTTCGGAGCAGAACGCGATCGCGAGCGGACACTTGCAAAATTTTGCATTATCGCATACGAACATGCTAAGCATGATGCTCTACCTGGAACAAGTTCGGCACTTTTGAATGGATACATCGTCCACTCATGGGATTCCCTTGCACAATCCATTTTTCATAAATTTATTTTGATATGCAGTATATTTGAACTCAAGCTACGGCCGTTATACTCGAAGTATGACTTTGGCCTTTTTAAATATATTTAAGAAAGATGATGTAATTACTTAGTTTACAAAATGTGTTCACAACAAATTGAAATATCTCGACATTTCAAATTTGGAAATATGTGCTTCTGCCAGTGGTTTTATTTTGCTTTTCACATATTTTGGCTAATCTGGGTATAAATACCCGCTTTTAACCAGTGGGTGACGAAGTTTTAGATTAATTCAACTTAGTTTTAGTTAATCGGAAGTACCTATGATTGGATGAGCAAGAGCTGTTCCTGCAGCATATGTTGCTAACCTGAAGCGTTTGCCCATTTCATTTC